CCCCAAAACCCCAAAACCCCAAAACCCCATCTTAGAAAATTTCTATGAAGTTTATGAAAATGTTAGGCTATTTGTAAACAGGAGAGAGATTCTTCAGATTATGGTCAGAGTTCAGAGACTGAAAACTACTATATGGATCTGGATTCAGATGCTGTCTAATTTTACACATGTTCTTATTCCCAAGCTTGATTGATACTCTCCTTCCTTTGCTACTTTCTTGTGTATAATCAGGAATTTTGGACATGAAACCTTTTGAGATATTTGAAAATTTCACTTTTGAATGATTAGCTTTTCGTTTAGAAGTATTTATTGGCACTGAGTTCAGTCAAGAGGAGAGTCCTCTCGATGACCTGTAGTTCTTATCGGCATTTGATTTAAGAATCTGACTGTTAAGCTTAATTTTCTTATGAAGCTTATTTAATCCTCTGTTTCTTCACTTCTAACAGAGAAGTTTCGGCAAAAGTTCTATCATCATTGCCTAAAATTGGTAATTTATTCTTACTGGTGTTGTAATTTTCAGACTGTTCTGAGTTATTTACGCTGAGCAGATGCTACTTCTAATTTTCTGGATTGTTTAGAGATTTTACTACAATATAACTTGTTCATTATCTAAAGATTTGGTCAAAAGCTACCTCATTTCGAGACAAATTTGGCTTTTCTCTGAGTTCAGAAGGGGTCAAGGATTCGAACCTGGACATCAAGACCTTAGCGTAGCTGCTCGAAGAGTTAGGCTCTCTGAAGAGGTTCAAATAGTTTCTCTGCTTTGTAGTAGTACATTTATAGGCTATTAGTTAGTCAATAACTTTACATTTATGAATACTGTGAAGTAATTTCTCAAATTTTGAGGTTATAATCAAAGGTTTATTGTTGTCATATTGCAACCCGAAATTAGCAGTACCGGTTATAATAGACTACCTTTCGGTCTTGCCCTCAGAACATTAGAATTCCGTCGTAACGAACCTCCTTTGTTAGTGTCTATATGATAAGTTCACTTGAACTTGGTGGTAAAATTATCTACCTTTACTGAAGTGATCATAAATCATTTTACAATTTTTGATTTTCCTTTGATTAGACTTTAGGAAAAATTTGTTATCTTGACTTCTTGCTAAATTTTAGTTTTAAAACTCTTATTTACTTCTCTTAGGAATTTCGATGGCCTTTCTTGCTAAAATCCGTGGCTTAGTTCTTTCAAATTTCTATTTTACACATTTTATATGCGACATTAGAAAGCTTACTGTTGTTTTAGGATCTTTAAAGGTTTTGAGAAGATTAATTTGACACAATTTTCGGTATTTTAAACTCTATATTTATAGAATTTGAGAATATCACCTTGTGATAATTAAAAACTATTATCTCCTTATCAAAGCATACTCTTATCTTATTCATACATCAGGGTAATTTATTGTAAAATTTTCCAGATAATCGGCTCCACGCACGAGACGATAAATAAAATTTCTAAACTCTAAAGACTTCGATGCATTAGGCAGATTCGGAACATGCTTTACTGAAGAGGTCACTATACCTTGATCATACGAATTCAAGCTCAAATGGCTGTGATCTGCTGAATGAAATGAATCTGATGCGAGCATCTTTAAACCTTTTGTTTATAGAATAAATAAGAATTTAGGGGTTTTGGGGTTTTGGGGTTTTGGGGTTTTGGGG